CAATTTTAGTACTGAAATGCAGAGGTACACAATAAACTATCAAAAGATTTATTCTTACCTGCACAGAATGCATGCCCCAGTGAAAAAATTGTATCTGGTGCACTCTCTCCCAACAACAAACTGATAATATCTATATCGTGCACGGCAGCATTATAAAAAATTCCACCTGGAAGAAGCAAAACTGGGCATTAAGGTCTCCACACGTGAAACCACAGTCAACGTACATTTCTGAACTGCACTGGGATCGATATAAAAAGCCCCCTACATCGAAGAAACTAATACTAAAAGCAAACAGAAAAAGGCAACAAAAATAAAGATCGGTAACGAAAATGCTCCTCAAAAGGAAACCCATGCATCTTAAGGCTACACAACCATAGGGGACTTCCCACCAGAACACGGGGCAAGATGCATTTCCAGTCCTTTGAGAACAAACTTTTCAGAAGAAAGCCGCTCGGTACCTGATGTTTTTAGGAAGCTCAGAGACGCTGCTGGATACGTGCTGCTAATCGTCGATATCCGGTGGATCCTCCCCAGCGCCTGGCTGTCGCGGACTTTCTTGTACAAGAACTGCAGCGCCGGGTCAAAGCGCCTTCAAAGAGAAACGAGGAATGTGGTACAGCGGTTGGAAGAGAAGGAGGTCACCTGGGCTGCCATTACTGCTGCGGTGCACGAGGCCGACTCAACTGGAGGCAGCGGCGAGCGTGTAACATGAACCTCACCGGACAGACGGGGTTAGACACAGCTTTCTAAGTTCAGCCACTTATTATGTGTGAATTTTGCTCCTTGCAAACGAGCCTACTACCTGCACTTGTGAAGACTTAAACGAACAACTTTAATGATGAAATTAAACCACGGGGACTAAAAGCATTTAAAGGTCCAGAAAATTACCTACAGTTCTTCTTAGAGCCCCACCTGCAAGTTTATATTCAGCTGAGTGTTGACCAAAACCTCAGCTGAGCTTCAGCCTTATGGCTGGGATCAGACCTGTATGTAGTGCACTCAAATGGAAAAGGCAAACGTTAGGGCAGATGTTTTGTGTAATTATCTATTAGTGCCTATGAAATACATATATATTTGTCCAAAGAAGTTTTACTTGCAATGAAATTAACTCTTCTCAGCAGAGCAGCACAAAATGATCCAGTGTGTTTATTAACAACCCATGTCCACTCAGCGTACGGTGTTCAATACTGGGCACAAGTTTAAAGCAGCATTCTTGGCTTTTGTTTAACGGAGCGGAAGCAAATTAAAATTAATCTACTTTCCTTCTGTTTAAATTATTTAATCTTAAAGGTCCAGATGTAAGGTCACAAGTGGAAATATCACTTTATAAAGATTAATAAATCTATTCCCATCAGATAGGCCAGTAATTCCAAGAGCAAGGCGAATTTTCATGGCCATGTGGTTTGCAATCCTCAAGGTTAATGGTCCTCAAGCGCCATCCCTTCTAAACGCAGGTAAAACACAGCTCTATGCAGATCCCAGTGTTTGGAAACTCAATTTGAGTGGAAAGTTAAGTAGTGGATGGGGCCAGTGTCTCCCTAAAGACAGTGCTCTAAAAGGAACTTCAAAAGGTCGCGTGTTCTTTTGTTGAAGAGTTACTCTAAGCTTTCACCTGTATTTGCTAACACACGTGCTTATGTTTCACAGGATCAACATCATCTAAGTAAGTACAGAATATAATAAGCAAATCAGTGAAAATACAAAAAAGTTACAAGAAAGGAAGAGTTTTCAATATTATGAAAATATATTCAAAGAGCAGCCTTTTTCTCTGCTACTTTAAAGAACGTAGCTAATTCACTGTCTTCTTCCAACATTACTTCTAGCTTACTGCAACAAAGCTTTCCAACAGGGAAAAAAGGATAGACACCCTCAGATCCAGAAGTAGTACAATACCTATGGGCAGAAGTTTCGTGTGGAAGTCTAATACACAACCAAAGTTTAATGTCATAGGGCGTTACTAGACTGAACAGGGCTGCAAACTAAATGCTTTACAGCAGAGCAGTGAAAAGCAGGTCTCAGTAGCTGTGTGCTTAATAAAATCACAGGTCTGCCTGACCTGCTGGTTGTACACGCGCAAAAAACCACAAGCAAAAAACGTCCTAAAACCACAGACCAAGAAACTGCCTCAGAGAATGGCACAGCACCATCAGAATATTTCCTTCTCTGAAGCTCCAACTAGCTGTAGCATTTGCAAAACCTCAAAAGGACTGCAGAGATGTGGACCCCAACTGCCTTTGGCCATTCTGAAAGAAATGGAGCTTTCGCATCTTGAAAGCTTCATCGTTTGAGTTCCACTAGCATCCATTCGAGTGAATGTTTATTTCCATCTCATGACAGCTAGATTTTATCTCCATTAAGTATGAAGAATTAATCCAATCCAATTAACTCCCAGATGAACGTTAACAAGCAGCAGTGAAACTAAGTTTATTTGAGGACAAATTCAGGAAAGCCTGAGGAATCGATGCTGCCTTCAGACACGCGCTTCTTATCGAGTATAAATCAGAAGAAAAATGCTGGTCTTACTTGTAGAATCCACACACCAATGGTCTTCCACATCTGTCAGCTTCATCGAAACAAGCTTCTGCCGTCTGCCTGTCAAAACTGGGCAGCCTCTCGCAAAATACACCTTTTCCTGTGCAAAATGGTACAGAACACAGGACTGAAGGCAAGACACAGTCTGCAGAAAAACATTTTTATCTTGCAGTAACATATACATGTTATTACATTCTAGAAAGTATGTCTGATGAAACTGAAGCGTGGCTTTTTCTTTATTGATGCTACTAACTCCCTTTTGGCCTCCAGCTGTGGTTTTACTAGCTGCTTACGGACCCCAAGAAGCGTGACTGTTTTGACAGACGGCTCTCCTTTGAGTCCTAGCGGTATTTCTAGGACTAGAGACCCCACATGGCCGTACTGGGACCAGCACAGTACAAACTCCACTGGTGTTAAGCCATTAACATCCGTGTCCTCACTGGACTAATCTCTCTTTCATTATGCAATTAGACAGTCTGCACAACCCAAGGGACACTGCCGAGACGAGAAAGCATTGACATTTAAAGCGTTTAGCAAGCATACAGGGTCTGCCTCACCGTGTGCTACTGACTACAGATAAAAGCTGAATTTGCAGCTGTTCCTCTTACCTGCTCGTAAAGCGTCTATCACCATCTCAGAGGCTTCTTCAGGCGGTGAACAAATAATGGCTCCAGAGACTCTGCAGAAGTCAAAAGAAAGATCTTCAGTGAGGACGAGGTTTTTACTAGAATGAACAATGCTCAAAAGCTCCTTTTGGTTACAGTTATTGTTATGATAGCCGCCTTGAACTCTGAGGAAGAGTTTAAAAGACATAAAACCCCATTGCTCTGGAAGAGCAAGTTACGTTATAAAAGGAACTCGGTACCTGCTTGCAAGGATGAAATATGGGATGACATATATAGGTTAAAATTACAAGTGGAACAATGGAATTGCATTGCTTTTCCTGCATCTTAAAGGAGAAAGTCTTTTAAAGGTGTCCTTTGAAAACAAGTTAAATCCAGCTAGTTAACACATACAGTGAAATCAAAAGTATGTGGTAGAGCCGCTGAACAAGTGATGGGTACATCTTAGCTTATTACTATTCTTTAGTTTCCAGTATCAAATCCATCTTTCTTAAAAGCTCTGCCTTTCACTTTTGCTATGATATTTAAAATCTCAATTTGAGAACTGACTGTAACCACACCACTCAATGTTACTTGTTCAGTTCAACCGTAAAGCAAAGCGCCACAATCTTTCCTATTTGCAGCAATCCTCGCTTATCTCAAACAGTTTCAAAAGAGCCACCAAAGTCAGCCAGCTGCTCCGAGGCAGAAAAACTGGTAGGCAGCAGGAAAGCGTGTCGTTTATTGCTCTGTGGAAATGGAGGAAAGTAAGGGGGGTTTATATTCTTTAACAAAACTGCCTGCAACTAAACTCCTCCGAGTTTCCATCGATTCTGGGCACGTGAGTCAAGCTAAGCTTCCTGGGGACTTCGGAAGCATCTAGGGGTAGATGGCATACTGCATAAGGCTTAGCCTGTAACGGCCCCTTGGTCTCGCACCATTCCTATACGTGGGGCCAGACAAGCATGGTCTGGGTCCGCTACGGCGCAGCGGCATTGTCCAGGGCAGGGAAGCAAGCCTTGCCTGGAGACGCCCGCCCCAACCTTGCGGCAGGGAAGAAGCACGCACGGGAGTTCGTGGTGGACAGTACCGCTGATCGCTGAGTGCGACATCGCTGTCCTGCTGCCGCAGCACCCTGGTGCCAGCCAGGAACTCGGCGCCGAAGGCACGCTCCACCTCCTCCAGCTGATCCTCCACGACGTAAAGCAAGCAGCAGCCGTTTTCCTCCATCAGGCTTTGAAACAAGGCTTTATTAACGAGCCCTACGCCGAAGAGGGCGAGGCCAACGCCGCTGCCGTGCTGTCGAGGGGGTGCCGGGCCATCGGAGGCCTCGGGCGCAGCCCCGCTTTGGCCAGGCTGCTTTGAGGGGGCAGGTGCGATCCTCATGTGGAAGGCGGCAAGCGCCGAGGGGCGGCTGGCGGAGGTGGAGGGCGTCGGGTCTTCCCTGGGGGTGGCTGCGCTCGCGAGGGAGCTGGCGACGACGGGGTGGTGGGGAACCAGCGGCTTGTGGTAGGAGGGCGGAGTGGGG